CCATAATTCTAAACTAGTATCCAATACCATTCCAGATAAGGAAATACAAAAATGTATTTATAAAATACACTAAATAAAATTCCTTCTGATGCTATATTCAGCACTGATTGAAAGGAAAACGTTTTCTGTTTATTGTCCTAATCATAGTTCAAGTGCTTTCAAAGGGTAACTTGTCTAAAGACTGTCTAAGTAGTTTTTTCCTTTTTAGTGATCGTTGTCCAAGGTCATGTTGGTTATATTAAAGGCATTTGGCTCTAAGGTAATGCCCTCATCTGTTTTTAGTTCATATATGTTCCCATCCAAGTGATTTTTAGCGAAGCTAAATGAAAGTTTGCACATACTTAGTTATCATTAATAGTTGAACTTGAATTTTTAGCTCAAGCCCAATTTTGGCATTTTCTATACTGATAAGAAATTGGAAATGACCTAAATATCTAAGATTTCAGAAAAAGTTAACTAAGTAATAGTATACCAACTCTTTTTTTTGAAACAGAGGGCAGAGTACTGTGGCATCATTGTAGCTCACAGCAACCTCAGTCTCTTGGACTCAAGAGAGTAGCTGGGACTGCAGGCACCTGCAGGCACCAGTTGCTGGCTGATTTTCCTATTTCTAGTAGAGAAAGATCTCATGCTTGTTGAAGCTGGTCTGAAACTCCTGAGCTTAAGCAGTCCACCTGCCTCAGCCTCCCAGAGTGCTGGGATTACAGGCGGGAACCACCGGGCATGACCTAAACAACCAACCTGTGATTAAATGACTTTAATCATAGACAAGTTAAATTGAATTTCTGAATATTGCATCATTTGAATTGTGCAACCATCACCCTCATCCATCTCCAGACCTTTTTCATCTGAAACTCTACCCACTAAACAATAGTTCCCATTTCCCCCTCCCCACAACTCCTGGCAACTAACTACTTTAGTGATTCTCTACTTTCTGATTCCCTGGATATCACCAATCCAGGTACCTCATGTAAGTGGAATCATACAATATTTATCTTTTGTATCTAACTTATTTTACTTAACATAATATCTTCAAGATTCATCCAGGAACCTTTATAGCACATGTCAGAATTTTATTCCTTTTGAAGACTAAATAATAGTCCATTGTATGTATACCCCACATTTTGCTTATTCTTTCATTTGTATTGTTTCCACCTTTCGGATATTGTGAGCAGGGAGGTTGTAAACATTGAAATACAAATAGCTGAGTCCCTGCTTTCCATTTTGGGGGGATATGTACCCAGAAGTAGAATTGCCAGATCATATGAAATTCTTGGTTGATTTTTTGAGGAATTGGCCTACTGTTTTTCACAGTGACTTCACCATTTTACATCTGTATGAGCAGTGCACAGGGGTTTCAATTTCTCAAAATACTCCTCAATCTTTGTTATTTACTGTTTTTTTTGTTTTTGTTTTTGTTTTAGAGATAGAGTGTCACTTTATCACCCTCGGTAGAGTGCTGTGTGTAGCAGCTCACAGCAACCTCCAAATCTGGGCTTAGGTGATTCTCTTGCCTCAGCCTCCCAAGTAGCTGGGATAACAGGCACCCACCACAACATCTGGCTATTTTTTTGTTGTTGCAGTTTCGCTGGGACTAGGTTTGAACCACCACCTTTGGTATATGAGGCCAGCGCCCTACCCACTGAGCCACAGGCACCACCATCACCACCCCCTTTTTTTTTTTGAGACAGAGTCTCACTAGGTCACCCTCAGTAGAGTGCTGTGGTGTCACAGCTCACAGCAACCTCAAACTCTTGGGCTTAAGGAGTCCTCAAACTTTTAAAACAGGGGCCAGTTCACTGTCCCTCAGACCTCCGGAGGGCTGGACTGCGGGCCCGGGACAAGTCAGCTGCTAAGCAGGACAGGCAGTGGCGGCAAAAACACCTGGTGGGCCGGATAAATGTCCTCAGAGGGCTGCATGTGGCCCACGGGCTGTAGTTCGAAGACCCCTGGAAGCAATTCTTTTCCTCAGCCTCCCAAGTAGCTGGGACTACAGTCATCTGCCACAACACCCGGCTGTTGCAGTTGTCATTGTGTAGCTGGCCCGGGCCAGGCTGGAACCCGCCAGCCTTGGTACTGGCATTGTAACCACTGTGCTACAGGCACCAAGCCTATTTACTGTTTTTTTTGTTTGTTTGTTTGTTTGTTTTTTGATAATAGCTATCTTAACAGGTGTGAAGTGGCATCTCGGTGTGGTTCTGATTTGCCCCTAATGATTAGTGACGTTGAGCGTCTTTTCATGTGTTTATTAACCATCTGTACATCTTTGGAGAATTGGCCAGTTAATTCTTTTGCCTAGTTTTTAATCTGGTTGTTTGGTTTTTTGTGTTGAGTTGTAGGAACTCTTTACATAGTCTGGATATTAAACCCTTTTCAGGAATATGATTTGCAAATAATTTCTCCCATACCATGGGTTTCTTTTCACTCTGTTGGTAGTGTCCTCTGATGCACAAGAGTGAAGCTCAATTTTGAGGAAGTTTTGATAAAGTCCAGTTTGCCCAGTTTTTCTTTTGCTACCTGTAATTTGGAGTCATATCAGGTAAAGCATGGCTGAATTCAATATTAGCTTTCCCTGTATGGTTTTACAGTTTTAGCACTTTTTTTTTTTTTTTTGAGACAGATTCTCACTATGTCGCCCTTGGTAGAGTGCTGTGGCATCAGAGCTCACAGTAACCTCCAACCAGTTTGCGACAATCAAGCAATTCTCTTGCTACAGCTTGCAGAGCAGCCGGACTACAGGCACCCGCCCCAACGCCCAGTTATTTTTTGGTTGCAGCTGTTGTTGTTTATCAGGCCCAGGTCAGGTTTGAACCCTTCAGCTCAGTGTGTGTGGCTGGCACCCTACTCACTGAGCTACAGACACCGAGCCAGTTTTAGCACATTTAGATCATCAATTTATTTTGAGTTAATTTTTATATATGCACAAGGTAAGGGTCCAAATGCAGTCTTTTACATGGGGATCTCTAGTTTTCCTAGCCACATTTATTGAAAAGACTGCCTCTTCCTTAATTAATTGGTTTCAGCACCCTGTTGAAAATTATTTGAACTATATATACAAGAGTTTATTTCTGGGCTAATCCATTTATTGATCTGTCAGTCTGTCTTTATGCCAGTATCACATTATTTTGATTACTGTAGCTTTGCACCAAGTTTTGAAATCAGAAAGTGTAAGTCCTCCAGCCTTGTTCTTTTCTAACAGCAAATAATTTCGGATATAAGATTAAATTTTAAAAAAAGAACATAAGATGGTGTTTATTAGAATGTAAAAAATAAATTTCTATATGAGGTCATTATTAGAAAGGATTATAGAAAAATCAAAGTAGGAAGGTAGAGTTATGGGGATTTTTTAATTTTTAGATTTATTTAAATATATTAAAATAAGATGAAAATAATTATGAGTCATATTAAGCGTAAGTCATATTAAATATTAAAATAGAAAAATGAAGTATAAGTGCATATTAGGATAATTTTGTCTTTTAAAAAAAAAGTAAGTGAGAAATCAGTCTCAATATAAATTATTTTTGGTCTTGTCTTTTCAGTGCCATGGAAAATCTTTTTCTTTAAAGGATGAAAAAGACGTAATATTATTGGTATAGAGCTAATGCACATGTTTTCAGTATTAAAAATATTATTAAAGACTTAAGCTTATTATTTAAAAATCCTTACAGATAATTCTCTAGCATCTTCCTTTATAAAGTTACTTCAAAGTCTAATGAGTACTCTATTTTTGGAAGTAGAACAGAAATATGTCTCATATTACAGGTAGGCAAGCCTACTAATGATAAGTGGTAATGGTGTAGTTTTCTATAACTTCAGTAAGGTATCCTTTACTTTCTTCCCAAGGTGCTATTTTCAAGTTGTACTTAATTCTAGTTACAAGATCTGACATATGAGGTGTGACAATTAAGTTCACGAACTCATCCTAGAAAAAGTGCCACACACCTCATTGCTGAACCTCACTGTGGTCACCTTGAAGTGCTCCTCTGGGGAGCTGTGCACTGATGCCCGCGCCTAGTCCACCCTTCACAGCAATGTTGCAACTGTTTTTCTGGAATGGCCATCAGAGCTACTGTCATATTACCCCTGATGTCCCAAATGTCATCAAAATGTCTTATTTTCAATATTTCCTTTATCTTTGGGTAAAGAAAAAAGTCATTGGGGGCCAGATCAGGTGAGTAGGGTGGGAATTCCAATACAGTAATTTGTCTACTATCTAAAGACACCCTCACAGACAGTGCTGTGTGAGCTGGTGCACTGTTTTGATGCAAGAACCATGAGTTGTTAGCCAAGATTTCCAGTTAAGATTTTCCTGTTTCTCTATCAAGTTTACTTGGTCTGCTCTGCTTCTTGCAGTCAGCCAATGCTTTTGATGCACAGTTTAATGAATTTTTGCAATGATTTTGTCTGCCCTGACCTCTCTCCATCAGTGTTGCTTTCTCTCCCCTCCAAAAAAGTTTAGTTCATTTGTACATTGCTATTTTCTTCATGGAATTATCCCATAAACTTGGACTAACATATCTTTGATTTCACCTCCATTCTTGCCAAGTTTAACAAGAAATTTATGAATGTCTATTTATTGCTCTAATTCAAGTTCTGACATTCTCACTACAGCACTCAAAAACACGCAACAATAATGAATATCACTCTGAAAGACACTGCCACATGTTGACACAAACACAACTGTGAAATACTGATAGACCAAGGTTGTGAAACCTTAGTGAATTGTTTGTACAGTGCTGCCAATATAAGTCGACAGCGGCAAGTTCATGAACTTAATTGTCAGATCTTCATAATTCTTTTTTTGTCCTAACTGTCTATTATTGCCAATTATAACTGAATTGTGTCATGACTATTTTTTTGCTTCCTGACTATTTTGCACAATCCTGAAGAGCAATGGCTGTATTTGATGTTTCTTTTATATCCTCTTCAAGTTTTTCCTCACTACTGTGCATGCTGGAGACATTTAATAAATATTGTTGAAATTTTTTTCTTTATTTCAGGACTGGCAGTCGGTACAGTCGAAAGGTTGCTTCTTCTTAGAGGAAGATGGTGAAATTATTAGTCATCAATACAGGATGCAAATAGCTCAGAGGTCCATGGTTTATCTCACAATTAAGCCGTTAAAACTGAGTCAAGTTGAAGGCAAGCTTAAATTTTCTATATGTTTTTAAAGATCTCTTTGTACCCTCTTTGAAAATATTTATGTAAGTATTCCATAGTCCTAATTGGTAAAGAAAACAATCTGTCTAAGTAAGAAACATGGTTACACTTCAACACAAGGTTTAGATGTAGATGGACTATGTTATCATATCATGCAAAGCAAGTAAATTGCTTTGTGCATATGTTTAAAGCATATTTTATTAAAAATAAGAACAATGTTACCTGTTTTTCTTATTATATAGAAGTAACTTTTTTATTTGCCAGCTAATCTCAGCTTTATCAATTAATCAGTCAATTGGATAAGAGAAGTTCTGTAGGGGCATAAGTCAAGACAATATGAAACTGTAAGTATTTTTTAATATCTTCAAAGTCCTGTGGCAGTGACTTCAAAAATCTTAATAATCTTTGAATTCATGTAGTAATTTTTTTCTAGATAAAAATCAATAATTTCTAGTGTCTAAAATGGTTATTATATAATTTTTAATCAACAAAAGATCTCTGTAATGGTGATCCCCAGATAGACATGAATGTTGATCTAAATTAATCTTTATTTTTCTTTTATAATATTTACCTATGAACATTTTCTTATGAGAGGATTCTCCTCCACCTCCATTCTTTTTCCCTCCTACATCAGAGAAAGTTTTCAAGGCACATCTTGTAGGGCACTTACAATTCTTGGTAGTTAATACTTTTAAATGATAATTATAATAGTAACTTTTCAGAGAAGAGAATCAAGATAGCCCTGCAAACTTAGTGTATTTGTTAATTCTCTATATTCTTTTGAATAAGATTCCTTTTCTTATTTATTTATCAAAGATTTATTGAGGATCTTATATGGTAAGCCTCAACTTAGGTGTTTAGGATATATGAAAATGTCAATAAGACAACTATCTCTGCCCTCATGAACTTACATTTTAATGGGGGAAATAAATAATAAAAATTATAAAAGATGACGTGGTATAAAGGGTGGCTCCTGTGGCTCAAAAGGGTAGGGCACCAGCCCCATATGCCGGAGGTAGTGGATTCAAACCCAGCCCTGGCCAAAAAAAAAAAAAATGACCTAGTATGTTAGAGAATAAGTGTTATGGGAAAAACATGGACAGAAAAAGGGATTGTGAGTGCTAAGGGGATGTTGGGTTTCCACTGAAATGGAGTGCTTGGAGTATGCTTCACTAAGAAGGTGCCATAGGAACAAAGAATTTGAAAGAGGTGTATCAATTATTAAATTATTAGCTGCTCTTGCTGCAAAAAAAAAAAAAACAAAAAAAAAACTACCCTGAAATTCCATCACTGAAAACAATTAAGCATGTTTGCTCATGAGTCAGTAGGTCGATTACATCGTTGTCTTAGTCTGATCTAGGCCTGGATTTTCCCTACAGGCCGTGTGTACACAGGTGTGTTCAGCTACAGATTAGCTAGTGGGTGACTTTGCTGATCTTGGTGGGGTCCTTTCCTATGGACTGGGTCTCAGCTGGGACCACTTGACTCTGCCTCATGATCGCTACTCCTCCAGTTAGCTGCTAGCCTGAACTTGCTCCTGTCATGGGACCTGAATCTGAGCGGGGAAAGCAGAAGCAGAATGGGGCTGCCAGAGGTCTGGGCCCCAAACTGGCTGCATGTTACGTTCTGTTGCTCACAGCAAGTCACAGGCAAGATTCGTAGGGTGAGGAAATAGGCATGATCTCTTGAAAGAAGAGCTGCAACGTCATCTTGCAAGGGGCTGTGGTTACGGAGAGGGCTGCCATTTGTGTTGTCTTCCAGGGAACAAGCTTTGTAGGTGGAAGGTGGTGGGAGTGCTGGGAGAGTGAAGGAGGTGGTGAAGCCTTCAGGTAGAGCTTTGAGTTACAAGAATGCTGGCCCTGGGCGCAGAGAGGAGAGTGTCAGAGGCACAGTGAGTGAGGAGGGCCTGGGGGAAAAGGACAAAATCAGATACAGGGGTTTGGGGCATATTTAGGACTTAGGCTGTTAATCAGAGAAATGAGGATTTTTCCCTCATTTTTACAAGATTTTTCTCTTTATTGTTGAATTTCAGCAGTTTAAATGTGCGTCTAGGTAGTTTTTGCTTTTGTTGTTGACGGTGTTATATGGGATTTTGTTTTTTTTGAGTTTTCTGGTATTTTTCCTACTTGATTATTTTCTGGGCTTCTTAGATTTGTGGCTTGTTGTCTTTCATTTTTAGAAAATTCTCTATCTTCACTTCTTCAAATATCTCTTCTTCCACGTGTGTGGTTCCTGAGATCTCTTTCTCCTGTGATCCACCGTAGGTAAGCCCTTGCTCACATCCCGTCACTCCTTGGATTTTGGGCCACATAGTTGTCCTGTAACTTCAGCTCTGATGGGTTCCAGAAAATTTGTGGCTTTGTACTTTGTTCACTTCTTACTGTTAGGGAAGGAGCAACACTCTCCTAACTTTACTCCATTAGAGGATTTGAGTAGAAAGCAGGATCCAATCTGAGTTAACATTTTAACAAGAGCAGTCAGGTTGCTATGTTGAAAATAGGCTGAAGGATACTCAGGAGAAGATAAGGAATCAAGTGGGTGTTACTGTTACTGCAGGATTCTAGGAGAGAACTAATAGTGCATTTGCACCAGGGTGTAGACAGGACAGGAGGTGGTGGAGATTCTGGATTGTATGTGTTTTGAAGGCAGAACCCTAGAATTTCCTAAGGATTTTTTTTTTTTTGAGACAGAGTCTCACTTTGTCACCCTGGGTAGAATGACATGGTGTCATAGGTCACAACAACCTTGAACTCTTGGACTGAAGTGATCCTCTTGCCTCAGCCTCCCATGTAGCGGAGACTATAGGCACCCACTGGAACACCGGGATAGGTTTTCTATTTTTAGTAGAGATGGGGGCTCGTTCTTCCTCAGGCTGGTCTCAAATTCCTGAGATCAGGCAATCCACCCAGCTCGGCCTCCCAGAATGCTAGGATTACAGGTGTGAGTCCAATCCCAGCCTCTAAAGATTCATTTTGATATGTGAGATGAGAAAAGAGTTAAAGATGACTCCAAGATTTTCTACCTGAGCAACTGGAAGAAAAAAGTTATCATTAACTGAGATAAAGAAGGCTGCAGATGGATGGTTCTTTTAAAGGAATTGGGAGAGTCCAGTTTTAGAAGTAGAAATCCAAGTAGAAATGTTGTTAAACATGTAGTTAGTTATATATATCTAAATTCAGAGAAAAGATCTTAGCTGGGGATAACAGTTCTGGGGTTCTCAGCATATAGACACGTCTGACCTCTCTCCCTCCTGTGCTCCACCTCAGGTGACCCAGTGCTTACATCCATCTCTCCCTAAAAAGTTCTGTTTTCCTTGGATTTCAGGCTACTGGGTTGCCTGCAACCTCAGCTCTTGATGAACTCAAAAAAATTTATGGTGTTTGTTTTTAATTTATAGATTTTATAGAAAGTGAATATGTAAAGAATGTTTCTCCCAGGTTCCCTGTATATAGCTAGTATCTTATTACAAAAGCGGTGATATTTACATATAAAATGGGATGTATATTTCTAAAAAAAAAATCAAAAAGGGAAAGAAACCATTAACTTCTTTTTTTAGATTGGAAAAAGTAGTGATTGTTTATGTTAAGGTGATCGTGGTTTTTGTTTACAGGAAAACCATCCCTGTGGTTATCAGTTGATACAGCCTTGTATATTCTTAAGGAAAACGAGAGTCAAACAAATCTACAGCTCGTGTGTTTTACTGAACTACGAAATAGAGAAGTATATATATTTATTTTCTAATGTTTAATTTAAAAATATAGTATAAACATAAATTTTGGGAAAATAATAGTTTTTCTATATTTTTTTTTATCTTTTATGTTCCTTCTACAGTACTTAAGTACTGCAGTCCTAGCACTCTGCATTTTAGTGCTATAGATATTATATGTTTTATTAATTGTAAAGAGATTTGTTAAGAATCAAGGACAGGAGCCAGGTATGGTGGTGCATGCCTAAAGTCCCAGCTGTCTGGGAGGCTGAGGCAGAAGGATCATTTGAGCCCATGAATTTGAGGCTGTGGTGAGCTATGATTGTGCCTGTGCATAGCCACTGCACTCTAGCCTGGGCAACATAGTAACACCCGGTCTTTAAAAAATTGAGGTTTGAATGGCAGTCTTGAATCTTGGCTTTATAACTTTTTTTTTTTTTTTTTTTTTAGACAAAGTCTCACTGTGTTGCCCTGGGTAGAGAGTGTCATGGCATCACAGCTCACAGCAACCTCAAACTCTTAGACTCAAATGATCTTCCTGACTTAACCTCCTGAGTAGCTGAGACTACAGGCACCTGCCACAACACCCAGCTAGTTTTTCTGTTTTTAGTAGAAACAGGGTCTCGCTCTTGCTCAGGCTGGTCTTGAACTCCTTAGCTCAAGCAATCCACCTGCCTCAGCATTCCAGAGTGCTAGAATTGCAGGTGTGAGTCCCCTCACCCGGCTATGGCTTTATAACTTATAAGCTATGTGACACTGTACTTCCCTTTTGTCTAAATGCCCTGATGCCACACATGTGAACTTTGTTTTATGTACTCAGTAAAAAAGATGCATGCCAGTAGATTTTTTCCCCCTGTATACAAGCAATTCAAGACTTTGGAAAGTTGTTGTAGATGTTTGTCTTATTACACTGCAAAACAGAAAACCCTTCAGATTGCCATCCTCAGGACTGGCTTCTTAGTATGAGTTCAAAAATAGACTGATAGGAAGAAATGCTTTTAAATATTTTTATTTGTTGCCCACGGGGTCGTTCTGATCTTTTCTAATTATAAATTTACTCAGAGGCCAAATGTGTGAGGCAGACAGATAAATGTGGCTATTTATTTTATGAGGACTACAAAACACATCTGCTACAGAACAACAGAAATAATGCTATTCAAGGGCTCACACAGTATTGTATTTAATCTTTGTATCGGCCCAGTGACAGACACACATTTCCCTGGTGGGATGTTACGTAGACATCTTTACTGTAGGCTTCCTAACAGACAGGAGTAGTTACAGACGAGAAACAAATAACATTGGCATAAGTTAATGTTTTGACTAAACTCTTCTTCAGAACTGACTACAAAGTTAAGTTCAGGTTAAAGCATTGTCTAAAAGAATAGTTTTTTCCATTTTGTTCTAGGTAAAATTACTTTGTTATGAGATTGCGTGTGTAAAAAGTTAGTACATAAGCAAGGCTGTAATAAAGTTTGAATGAGTTTCTATTTACCTCTTTCCTATATAGGCTTCTGTTCATCTGTGCTATATTAAATCGATCAAGGACTTTTTATTCGTATTTTAGTTTCACAATTTTTTTAAAGAAGAGTTTTGTGCCTACACAAACCTTTGTATTTGCCATCACAGAGGTGATGCAGGGCTATTATGTGAAGATAAGGTGGGTTCATAGAATATACATATTAGCAAGCTCCAAGACCTGTTTGTTCATTTGTAAATATTAGTCTACATATGGCTCATTTCAAAGCTTGTGATTTCCAGAGCATAGGTGTGGTAAATGTTTAGTCTTAGAAATGACCCTCTATTTTATTAGATGGTGACCTTGGTGTCTCTGACTTGTCAGGGCTAAGATGAAACCCAGAACTCAGATGAGCAAACATATTTGATAAAAGCCTCCAGGATAACCTACAATATACCTGGATTTTGGACATACTACCCTATAGGAGAGCAAATAGCCGTTGTACACAACTAGAAAATACTTAGATTTAAAAATATTTGACAAAGACAACTCTTACTTTTTATAGGAAACTTTTGGCTTCCAAAAAGCTCCTAGGAGGTACATAGATACTATTTGCTTTCTTTTACAACAAGAGAATAAAACGTCTTCCTATACAAATATCCTGGCACTCATTATAAATATCCAACAGGTGGCAGGAAACAGAATTTTGTGTAAGACAGGTTGACCTGAGATTTTGCATCTTGTTTTATAGTCCATGTTACGTAAGTAAAATTTCAGTGCTTTTGTCTATGTAATTGCACTGTTAGAAAAATGGTTAACAGTGAACCCTTTACAAATATATTTAATTTTTATTTTAGGTCATTGAACTCTGCTTTACAAATTTATACATATGTATTTGAATTAAATTAGGAAACTGAAACGTGGAATAGTATTACTTTTCTTTAAAGGAGGTTGGGATTTACATAAAACAATTATCCTAAAATTTCTCTTTAATTCCTGTAGAAGATATTTGTATCACAAATTTTTGACAGTTATTAGGGAAGATTTAGAAGATATATGCAAAAAAAATTTTTTTTAAAAAGGAGATCTATGCAGTAGAACCTCCATAGCTGACCACCTCCCTTCACTGAGCACCTCCTCAAGTTGACCTGATTTTCATAGACTGATCGTGAACCACGTGGACACATTGGTACAGCGTGCCTGGTTCCTCATGTGGATCAGCTCTGTATGGTGACCAGTTTGTTACATTCCCCTGGGTGATCAACTTACAGAGGTTCTACTATAACTTCTTACCTCCTATATAGTTTTAGGCATTTGTTTTAAAAATATAGAAAGAAGTTTATATGTTTTGTAATGGGTTACCATTAACAAAAATAATCTGAATCCTCTAAAAGACTGATAGAAATTTAATAGAATTGGTGAATATTGATTAAAAGTGCCTCTTTTTCAAAAGAAAATCTCATTAAGACTCATGGTTGTTTGTATAATTCTTTTGCAAAAAGGTATTTGGATGGACTGGTGAACTAGGACCTGGAATTTACTGGTTAATTCCTTCCACAACTGGCTGTAGGCTGAGGAAAGAAGTAAAACCAGTGACAGAAGAAGCCCAACTTGTGGGTAGAGATGAAACAGGGGAATTATTTCTTACAAAGGAATTTAGGTAAGTTTTGTTTTGGGGGTTGGAACTGTAACATGTAGACTAGGTTCCCCCCTTCCCTGTGGCCAGCCCCCACCCCATCCTCAGATTCTAGTTCAGTTATTCTTATGGCAACGTGGGTGAACCTGGAAGACATCATGCTATGTGAAGTAAGCCAGGCACAAAAAGACAATACCGTCCAGAGGGTCTCACTTCCATGTGGGGCATGAAAAAGTCAGACTCGTAGGAACACGAGCAGAGAGGTGGTTACTGAGGGAAGGGGGCTGGGTAGGAGAAGTATTGGTCAAAGGATACAAGACTTTGGTTAGAAAGGAGGAGTAAATTCGGGAGATCTATTGTACAACATGGTAATTATAGTAAAGACAACGTATTATGTACCTGAAAATTACTGAGAGAGTAGATATTAACTGTTCTCACCACAGAAAGTATATGTGATAATAGATAAGTTAATTAGCTTGATCTAGTCATTGGACAATGTATATATGTATCAAAAAAACATGTTATATACCATAAACATATGCCAAAAACAAAACAACTTACTCTCTAGGCATCTGAAAACGATCTTCCATTCATGGGTCTGGGACTTACTCTCTAGGCATCTGAAAACGATCTTCCATTCGTGGGTCTGGGACTGCCATTCACTTACGTGCCATACATTTGGCAAATCAACTTCAGTCACACATCCAGCAATTTCTCCCCTGCTTGATAACTGCCTTTAGAAATAGATCCTGCTAGTTGCACAGTTGATATAAGTAACTGCCAAATATGAAATGCAAAAGTTAGGTATGGCTTGGCGTTTGTAGCTCAGGTGGCTAAGGCGCCAGCCACATACATCAGAGCTGGCAGGTTCGAATGTGGCCTGGGCCTGCCAAATAGTGGCAACTACGACCAATAAAGAGCTGGGTGTTGTGGCAGGTGCCTGTGGCAGCTACTCAGGAGGCTAAGGCAAGAGAATCGCTTAAGCCCAGGAGTTGGAGGTTGCTGTGAGCTGTGACGCCACAGCACTCTACCCAGGGCGATAGCTTGAGGCTCTATCTCAAAAAAAAAACAAAACTTAGGTAGTTGTCCCATACCTGAGACTAGATATGCACTGTAAGTTGGCTGTTGGTAAAGAGGAAAGAGAAAGATTAGGAAAAGGGAAGCAGGAGGAGACTGCACTGTTCACTCAGTTCTGTGTGTTGAGATACTGCGGTTGCTTCAGAAGTTTGTTTACCTCATGTAATACCAGACTGAGCCAAACTTTATTTGGATATATTAACTTTATAGAAATTATTTAATGCCATGATATTATGTCCTTTGGAAAGTTATCCTTATAGAAACCTTTCCTAGTGCAATTCCCTTAGAGATAAATAATTTGCTATTTTTATAATTTTAGGTCTACTTTATCAGATATATTTGAAGTGATTGATTTAGATGGAAATGGTTTTCTTAGCCTTGAAGAATATAATTTTTTTGAATTGAGAACGAGTGGTGAGAAATGTCATGAAGATGCGTGGGCTATCTGCAGAGGTAAGCTCGGTTCTTTTTCTTAGTGGATCTGTTAGAACACACACACATGTCCCTTTCACCCCCAGCACATTAGAAGCCAAACTTTTTCTTTCTTCATGAATATTATAGCATTTAGTGACAATTAAAAAATAGTAGTTAATAGATCATAAAAAGATAAACACTTATTTTCATTAAACTGATAGTTGGTATAATCATCAAGTTAAAAGAAAGTATGAATTAATCATAATTTCAGTTTTTAGCCTTTGGTCTTTGGGGCTTAGAAGATAAAAAACTACATAAACTCTTAAAATCACTGGGCCAAAAATGGCCACAAGCTACAATTGTGCCCAGGAGAGGGCAGCAAAGAGCTAATGGGCCAGCAGCAGGTCTCAACCTGTGGGTGGTGACCCCTTCGTAACAGTGAAAATACATCGTGGCATTAGGAAGGTTAAGAACCACTGGAGAGTTTTACTTAAAATTTAAGGTTTTCACAATGTTGTTTATGCATGTTAAGAATTCTTTTTTTTTTTTTTTTTTTGAGACAGAACCTCACTCTTTCACCCTGGGTAGAGTGCCTTGGCATCATCATAGCTCACAGCAACCTCAAACTCTTGGACTCAAGAGATCCTCTTGCCTCAGTTTTTCCATTTTTAGTAGAGATGAGGTCTTACTCTTGCTCAGGGTGGTCTTGAACTCCTGAGTTCAACCAATCTACCTGCCTTGGCCTCCTAGAGTGCTAGGATTATAGACGTGAAGCCACTGCACCTGGCCCATGTTAAAATTCAGAATAATTGGCTCGGCGCCTATAGCTCAACCGGCTAAGGCGCCAGCCACGTACACCTAAGGTGGCGGGTTCGAATCCCCAGCCCGGACCGCCAAACAACAATGACAGCTGCAACCAAAATAAAAGCCGGGCGTTGTGGCGGGCGCCTGTGGTCCCAGCTACTTGGGAGGCGGAGGCAGGAGACTCGCTTGAGCCCAGGAGCTGGAGGTTGCTGTGAGCTGTGATGCCACGGCACTCTACCCAGGGGGATAGCTTGAGGCTCTGTCTCAAAAAAAAAAAAAAATTCAGAATAATTTTTGTATTTGAGCTGAATTAGAAAGGTCCATCCATGGAAGGATTGAAGCCAAACATGCTAATACGGATAAAGAAAATCACTAAGAATGAGGCCAGAGTTAGTTGTCACTCAGAAGGACTCTGAGAAGAGGGTGGGACTTGTGTGTTTAAGCCAAGGCCTGCAAGATCCAAGAGCAAAGCCAACAAGCCATAGCCAACCATAGATCATAGAACAAGAAGTATGAGAAGATGGGATGTAGTCAGGAGAGAGGAGTGTGCTGTCGGTGGTCTGAGCCTGGCAAAGTCGGGAGCCAGGTGGGAATCGGGTAGAAATATCATATTATTAGTATAAAGGATGGTTTATAGTATATCTTTTTTTTAGCTAAAAATAAAAATAATTAATAGCAAGCAATACATGATTTATAATAAACTTTGATTAATAAGATTTATAATACGCATATCAGAGTATTGTCTCTAGAAAGATACAATCATCTTGTGACTTTAATGATATAATCTTTTAATTCTGTTTGTTGGCACTCTAGTCGGCACATTCCGTAAGAGGAGATCATAATTAGGATTTTCTAACGGTAAAGTTGTTGAGAATTAATATTCTAGTTTAATAACTTAATTAAATTGGTTAGTAGTTAATAATTTTTGAGAGCATACCATATACCAGGCACTGATCTAAGTATTTCTACACATCAACTCTGTATTATTAGTGGTATTATATTATTGTCACTTCAGAAATAAAGAAATAGAATCAAAGAAATTGAGTAACCTGATCACATTACACAGCAAGATAGTTTCACACTTAGCTTTCAAGATAGTTCTTCTTCACAACCTTGAACTCCAAGCAATCAAAAGCCTCCAAAAATTATTGACCTGAAAAATTATATGGGGGGTATGTACTTTCACTAACATTAACCATACTGCAAAGAAAGGAGCTTTTCAGGTTCTGAAATGCTTGTCTCTCTCATCACATGTAATGTTAATTCTGCTTATTCCTCCCCCTGATAATAAGAACATGTATTATCCATAAGATTGTTTCAATAGGCTGGGTGTGGTGGCTCAGGCCAAGGTGGGTGGATTGCTTGAGCTCACGGGTTTGAGATCAGCCTGAGTTAGAGTGAGACCCCGTCTCTAAAAGTAGCCAGGTGTTGTGCGGGCGCCTGTAGTTGCAGCTACTCAAGAGGCTGAGGCAAGAGAATCGTTTGAGCTCAAGAGTTTGATGTTGCTATGAGCCATGACACAATGGTACTCTAGGGCAACATAATGAGACTCTGTCTCAGAAAAAAGAAAAAAAATTGTTTTAATAAAGTTTTTTAAATTTAAAATTGCCTTTAAATTTTTATTTTGTTTATTAATAGATTCTACTTTTAGAACAGTTTTAGGATTATTGAAAAATTGAATAGAAAACTATGGAGATCCCCCAGGTATCTACCCCTCCTTGCTCCCAAGTTTCCCCTCTTGTAAGTATTTTATAGTAGTATGGTACATCTGTTACAATGGACCAATGACTATTGAGACTGTATTATTAACTGAAGTCCGTAGTTCCTATTAGGACTCATTCTTGTTCAGTTCTGAGTTTTGACAAGTACATAATGTCGTGTGCCCACCATTACGTTATCATGAATAGTTTCACTGCCCTAAAAATCCCCTGTGCTCTACTTACTCAGCTACCTACTTATCCCCCTAAACCCCAGCAAAGCACCGATCTTTTCACTGTCTCTGTCGTCTCCTCTGCAGAGTGTCACACAGCTGGAGTCCCACAGTGACAAGCTTTTCAGACTGGCTTCCCTCACTCAGCAGTTTGCATGGGAGGTTTCTCCAGGTCTCCGTGTGGCTTGGGAGCTTATTTCCCTTTAGTGCTGAGTGGTGTGTCATTCTGTCGACATGCTACAGTTTGTGTTTGCATTCACCTAGTAAAGGACATTTTGGTGGGGTCCAGTTTTTAGCAAATACGAATACAGCTGCTGTAAACATTCATGTGCGTATTTTTATACAGATGTAAGTTTTCACTTCAGCAATTGCTGAATTGTATGGTGAAACTATAGTTAGCTTTGGGAGAACTACCAAACTGTATTCCAAATTGGCCTTACCATCTTGCAGTCCCATCGTCACTGAATGAGAATCCCTGTGGTACCACATTCCCGTCAGCGTTCGGTACTGTTAGTTCTTTGGATTTTAGTCGTTCTAGTAAGTACGTAGTTGTAACTTACTGTGTTTTCGTTTGCAGTTCCCACATGCCATACGGTGCCGAGCATTTTTCATGTGCTTATCTCCATCTGTGCATCTTCTCTGGTGTGGTGTCTGTTAGATCTTTTGCCCATTTTTAAAAAAATTTATTTTTTCAAATTATTTTTTGATATGTTTGCAAAGATTTCTCTTTTCTACGATGATTTTCAAGCACCCAGTTACCTTCAAAAAGGCAATTATTTTTCTTTTAGAGAGACAGTGTCTGGCGATGTTGCCCAGGCTGGTCTTGGGGAACTCCATGCCCCAAACGATCTTCTTGGTCTCTCAAACTGCTTGTATTACTGGCAACAGCCATGACACCTGGCCTTGTCCATTTTTCAGTTGGGATGTTTGTTTTTTTATTGTTGAGTTTTAAACATTCTTTATATATTTTGAATACAAGTCCTTTATCAGATGTGTACTTTGCAAGTACTTTCTCCTAGTCTGTGGCTTTTCTTTTTATTCTGTTTGTTTTATTTACTTTTTTAGAGATGAGGTCTCACTTTGTTGCCCTGTCTATAGGGTACTGGCAGGATCTTAGTTCACTGCAGCTTCAGACTCCTAGGCTCAAGTGATTCCTCATGGCTTGACCTCCAGAGTAGCGGGGACTACAGGCAAACACTACTACATTTGGCTAATTTTTCTTATTTTCTTGCAGAGATGGGGTAGTCTTATACTCTTGGCCTCAGGCAATAATTCTGCCTCAGCCTCTCAAAGTGCTAGAATTCCATGCATGGTCCTCCACACATGGTGTGGTCTCTTCTTTCTCTAAGAGTGTTTTTGACAGACCAGAAATTTTTAATGTTAATAAATTCTCACTTCACAATTTTTACTTCATGGATCACGCTTTTGGGTTTGTATGCTTTTTGTGTTATATCTAAAACTCTATCACCAACCCAAGGTTGCATAGATTTTCTCTGTATTATCTTTTAGAAGTTTTATAGTTTTGTGTTTTACCTTTGGGTTTGTGACCCATTTTGAGTTAATTTTTGTGAAAGTTATAAGGTCTTTACCAAGATTTACCATTACTATTATTAATTTTTTCCATATGGATGTCCACCTGTTTCAGCACCGTTTTTTGAAAAGGTGACATTTTCTTCATTGAATTGCCTTGGCTCTTTTGTCAAATAGTTGCATAGATAATACTTAGGTAGATCTATTTTTGGGCACTTTGTTCTGTTTCAGTGATCTTGTTGTCAGTTCTCTCACCATGCCACATGGTTACTGTAGCTTCAGAGTAAGTCTTGGAGTCAGCAGTTAATAATGTTCTAAAAAATAATAAGGATTGAGAATTTTAAGGTTTTTTTTAGAGACAGAGTCTCACTTTATCGCCCTCAGTAGAGTGCTGTAGCATCACAGCTCACAGCAACTTCCAGCTCTTGGGCTTAGGCGATTCTCTTGCCTCAACCTCCCAAGTAGCTGGGATGACAGGCGCCTGCCACAACGCCTGGCTTTTTTTTTTGTTGCAGTTTGTCCGGGGCTGTGTTCGAACCCGCTACCCTCGGTATATGGGGCTGGTGCCCTACTCACTGAGCCACAGGCGCCACCCAAGAATTTTGAGTTTGAAAATTCGATTGGTTGGGCAGCGCCTGTGGCTCAAGGAGTAGGGCACTGGCCCCATATGCTGGCGGGGGTGGGTTCAAACCCAGCCTCAGCCAAAAAGGAAAAAAAAAAAAGAAAATTAAAAAGTGGATTAGTTATTGATAGTCTTACAGTATAGTATCTAGATATATTTTTATATTCTCTTTGTATTGTATATCAAATATTAATTTTTCATGTTACTTTATTACATGGTAATTCCAACCTCCATTTTTGTGGCTACCATTTATCTTCACAATCAAATTCAGTCTTCATTTAGTTTTTTTTTCCTTGTAAAAGTTATGAATCACTTTTCATAACTTCTAAACCTTTTGAACTATTAATCAGTCAATCACTTTTAGGCAATTATGTTTCTGCTGCTTTTCTCACCATAATATATACAAAAGAGATGCTATCTCAAATATGAATACCCATTTCTCTTGAGTATATTACAGGTTCTAGGAGTTGGAATATAAAGTCTTTCTTCTTTCAAGACAGTTAACAAAATGTGATCCATAAGAAATGAGTATTCACTATCCATGTCACAGATTTAGAAATTATACATGTGTGGATATTTCTAGATGAACTTAGTTTTGCTCATAAGTAGTGTTAAAATGGGCACTTAGACCTGCCTGGGAGAATGTTGTTGGTTTATGGACTCCAAAATGTTCCCCATTATCTAACCATCTTTCAAGCTCAGGGACAATTTGCTTAAACTTAGAGGAAATAGCCTTGTAGTAGTCTCCTTAAATCTGGCACAATCCATCTCTCCCCCTTTGAAAGTCTGGTAGTTTGGGGGTTGTTATATCAACTTCATCCAATTTCTTCTAGGTTTAAGTGGCAAATACATGTGAAACATTTTAATTATTGAAATATGTTATCAGTATATACTGCAAGTGAGCAGGCAGTTTGGAATTCACATAGAAAAATTACAATTTCCTCTAATTTTAGGATATACTTGCACAATTTATAACTTCAGTATTTGCTGAAAAACTAAACCATGTCCTGTGATTTGCCTGTGCTGAGTTGTGAGAAACCAGCAGCGTGACTCGTAAGCATGTTTTGAGCCGTTCTCCTTCCTGGCTAAGGCTGCTCATAGACCCAGGAGGCCTCCTTTCATGTAGACATTTGTGAATAATAAGTACTAGACACTTTATTACATGTCTGCATTTTAAAATTATGTACAAAACTTTTGGTTGTTTTAACAGAGAATTTTGACACTAAGAAAAATGAACTAACAAGACAAGGATTCATGGAGTTGAATTTAATGGAAGCCAACGATAGAGAAGGGGACCCCCGTGATCTCTGGGTGACTCTGCACTCGATGGGCTACAATAAAGCCCTGCAGTTGACAGAGGTAAAAACACCCTTAAGGTTTGCCGGTGGGTTTAGTATATATAACATTTTACCCCACGAACATTCTCCTAACATGTGACTTTCAAATTAGGCACTCACATCCTTGAACTTTGTTGTATAAGTGAATTCCGGGTACAACAGCTTGTTTCTGCCAATGAGAACGGCGATTAGTTACTGCCAATCATTAAATAATTCAGAGACAAAAGAGTTTGAACAGAAAATATCAAACCAAAAATTGGTAATAAAAATGTGTATCCTTTATATTTAGAGGTGTCTTGAATGATTGAAGTCTCATTTATATAGGGAAATTCCTTATCCTAACAGTTTAAGTACTCTTATAATATGGAGAACCTGTCTGCATGAGAATTTGGAATTCTAATCTTTTTATAACGGGTATTTCTTGGGTTAAAATTTGTAAAACATTTCAAACAGTGGCTGGCTCATAGAAAGCTCTGCACAGGTATGGTAATGGTGATAGTAATAGAAATTGAATAAGACTTTTATAAACCAGAGAAGTGATAAAAATTAGGCCTTCTTAAATTTTATATTCTTGTGTTAGATTTATAATACAGAATTTTAGAGTTTTAGTTACAGGCTGCGTGTTAGATATATTTGTTTATACTCTTAAAATTAAAAATAGTATCTGAATCAAATTAAGAACACAACACTAGTGTTGACAGATTTTAACTGGTCGGTGCTCCGGGACTTTGACTTCCTTCCTCATTTTGACATCATTCCTCATCTCTCAGAAGCCTGTTTTCTGCAAGTTCTCTCTTTTTTTTTTTTTTTTGGCCATTTTTTGTGATGAGGGTGAATATAGTTACAGGACCTTTTTATATCCTACTTTAACCTAGCGTTCAGGGAATCTCACATTTTAACCGGGGCATAAAATCAGCATCTAATCTATGAACAATTCTGAATCTGCTGCACATTTTTGCTTTATAGAAAAATTAGTTAAGAGCATTTTAAGACTTTTTATAACATTTACTGATTTCATTTGCCTTCAAAAACATAGGCAAGAAGGCTTTTTGTGATAAAATCTTACTTAATTCTAATTTTATTTATTTGTTGAATAGGTAATATATTCATGTCATTTAGAATTCAAAAGGTAAAAAAACACAGTATACGTTGGAAAGTGTCAGGGGATGATGAGATTATCACTCAGTAACTGAAACAAAAAGGCAAAGCCAAATGTATTGCTTATTGTAAAGGAAAGGTGTGCTGGTCAGGCATGGTTTCTGCTCAGAGAAAAATGCTTTGATTTATTTTGTAGAGCTGAGGGAGGCGTGCAGCTCAGGAGTTGCCTGGCTTTTAGAAGTGTCAATGAGTTGACAGCATCTGGGAAAGGACGGTCACTTTGTTGAGACTGTTGATTGGCTAGCACTTAGCGATGTATTTATTGGTACAAATTCACCTTTGATTTCCTGACTTTCAAAAGAGAGGAGCTGACATTGGTTGCTTTACAAAAGTGAAAGTTGTTCCTGATCAACTGAACAAGTTTAAAACCAGTTCTGATGGCTAGTGTTACCCTGACAACAGAATAATCCAGGTTTTCCAAAATTTCTGAGACCTTTTGGATTCTTGGTTCCTCTTTTGATTTTATCCAGCTAAAGCTGTAAGAAACCATCAAAAATTCAACAGCTCTTAATTTTCTCTGATGTGGTTTTATCTGTGGAATCTGATTTTACTTTATGCAGTTTTTAGTTAAGAAAAACAAGTATAATTAGTAGTAGTATAAGAACTGACTGGAAGGCACTACAGAATTGTGACCCCAGATTTTCCAGGAATGGCTTAGAAAGCAAGTCCCATGGATTCCCTGAGTCTGCCTGTACAGCCTTTTATATTAATCATTTCCTCCTTTAATTGCTTATAGATTGTTTTATTTATAGTATTAATCCAGGTACAACCTGAAGTACTAGCATTGTAAAGATTCCTTCCTGGTTGGCAAAGGAAAATCCCAGGCTAAATTATATAATTAAATTACCTGGGTTAAACAATTTAAACTGGTTTGTTATGCCTGAGAGGTTAGGCTGTATTGCTTACTCTGTCAACTAACGTAAAGGAACAGTTTTTGATAACCCCCAACGGATGGGATCTCTATGTTTAGGAGTCTTTTTCCATAAGGGGTTTATTCTTCTGCAGTGCACATAAGAAAATAAAGCTCAGTGAGGGCACTGGGTATCATGCCTTTGCAGTGGCCTACCTGCTAAGGAGCCATATGGAGCAACTAGCCTTGGAGCTGGGTTTGCAGTCTGATTTCTGTGTGGGAGCAGCCCAGGAGATACGTGGCTGCCCAGGAGTTCTTAGTGGCTCTGGAGGTGTGTTGTTTCTGGGTGTTGTGATAAATAGTATATCTTGCATTTTTTTTATTTCTTATTGTTTAAGCACATATTCCTTAAAGTCTCAACTTAGGCAAGTCCTTATTACTAATGAGAATATGCCAGGCCAAGTCAGAAAAATACAGTAAAGAGGAAATTAATAAGGAGGAAAACTATGAAAAACCAAAGTATGCAAAGAAGAACATAACCTAGAGAAGAATCTTGTTACAGTGGTCTTGGGAAGAAGCTGTCTATGTCATGTGCTTGTTCAGTGATTCTTGGTTTAGCAGTTAATTTTATGGAACCTCTTGTTTCTGGAGATTCTCTGGGGAACCTCATTCTATCTCTAAAGGATGTACTTTTCCAACTCTGTTAAAGCCCTATTCATTTTTCCAGAGGTTTGGGAATGATAACAACAAAAAATGCTTTTAGATTTGGCACCTGTAGCTCAGTGGTTAGGGCGCCAGCCACATGTACCGGGGGTGGTGGGTTCAAACCTGGCCCAGGCCTGCTAAACAATAATGACAACTACAAAAAAAAAAAAAAAATAGCGGGGTGTGGTGGTGGGCACAGTAGTCCCAGCTACTTGGAAGGCTGAGGCAAGAGAACCGCTTAAGCCCAAGAGTTTGAGGTTGCTATGAGCTGTGACACCATGGCACTCTACCAAGGGTAATAATATAGTGAAACTCTGTCTCAAAAAAAAAAAAAAAAAAACCATCAACAAATAATTTAATATTTGGTATTAGAGCATCCAAAAGTTTGGTCTAAGCATGGATGGTTCTGGATTTATAGAATCATACTGAGGACCTTCTCTTCGTTTAGTAAGGGACATGGAGTTGTATTCAGGGTGTTAACACTGGCAGATGTAATACAAGAAAGAAAAACTAACACTTCATAACCAGTTGATATAAAAATTTGGGATGCTTTCCAATAGCAGTAGAGATTGTACATGTGGTCACATAGTTTCTTTCAATATGGGATCTCACTATGTTGCCTAGGCTGGCCTTGAACTCCCAGGCTCAACTTCCGTCCTGTCTCAGCCTCCTGAGTAACTGGGATTATAGGCATGTGCCATTATGCCTGGCTCAACATGGTAACATTTTATTTCAGTGATTTGTATAAAATCTAAAGATGTTTTTGCTGACTGATTCAGTTGATGTTTATGTTATAATTACTCTGTGGCAAGGAGGTTATCTGCTTATTAAATTAAGGTATAGGTGATAAGTGTTCCTGGATGGATGGATAGATGGGAAGGAAGGCCAGGGCAGATCACTTAACCTTAAGCTTAAAGGAGGAGGAAGAGGTACCTGTCTGAATGGATATGGGGAGACTCTTCCAAGTGGAAAGAACACTTCAGGCAGATGGCTTCATGTGCTCTAGGATTTGTGAGATCAGAGTAGCCAGAGCAACTGTGCAGAGAAAGCCAGAGACTGGGCTGGATGGGGCGGGAAAGGCTATTGGATGCATCACGTGGTGGAGTATTGTAAAGACTAAAGAAAAACATTAGTAAAATTCAATTCCAAATGCAGAAACTATTTTTGGATCTTAGATTTTAAAAGTGTTTTAGACTAAGTTTAAACTGTAAATTTACTTTTTTACATTTAATCAGTGCTCTGTGTCCTTGCATTAGGTTTCAGTTGTAAACATAATTTCTTTAGAGCTCTTTGTTGAATTCTTTCTGTAGCCTTAAACTTAGAAAAAGAAATGAAATGACATGATATTTATTGGTACTGAATCAAATGGAGGGATGGTGTCATGGCTTAAAGGAGGTGCTGCATTACTGATTTGCTAGAAATTATAGTTTCTTCTCCTTTTTTTCCTTTATTTTAAATTCTATCAAAAGGCTAAAACAAGATTTGCTTTTTCTCCCATACAGGCATGTCCATTTGTCATCAATATCTATGCAGAAAAATGCAAGCCAAGAATTAAACCTGTTCACATGGAGCCCTGCAGTGGGCAGCTTGAGAAGGCCATTTGTAAATCAGTTCTTAACAAAGGTGACGCCAAATTAATGGATGGCCATGAAAATATAATTGTACATACTTATAATTGTGAAACCTGGATAACTTCAGTTATTGAAAACAAGGTAATAATTATAAGCAGATTTTCCTTATTTAGTTATGAAGTTTACTAACATGTTACATCTTCTTTCTTATTCTTTGTATTTTATTTAGTTTGTTACTAAAAGTCTTCACATATACATCATTATTTTAATAATAGACAGCATGTTTTAAAGAAATATTATAAACAAAAAAATTTTCACTCACTTTTTTTGTTGTTTGTTTTGAGACAGAGTCTCACTCTGCCACCCTCAGCAGAGTGCTGTGGTGTCACAGCTCACAGCAACCTCAAACTCTTGGGCTTAAACGATTCTCTTGCCTCAGCCTCCCAAGTAGCTGGGACTGCAGGCGTCCACCATAATGCCTGGCTATCTTTTTGTTGTTGCAGTTGTCATTGTTGGTTAGCTGGCCCAGGTCAGGTTCAAACCCACCAGCCTCGGTGTATGTGGCTGGCACCCTACTCACTGAGCTACAGGCACCAAGCCTTTCACTCAGTTTTTTATACCAACCATGCAATCAGAGACCCTATTGATTATCATCATGTTATCTAAACAAATGCATTCTGCTGCCTAGGATGTACTTTTATCAAGCTAATAATTTCTAGCTTCAGCCATCTTTCCTGTTCCTCTTGTTATTACAGATCAACATGTATAAATTCTTAACATCAGAAGCAGCCAGTTCTTTAGAAATTATAAATTTTCACAACACCTTGTACCTGATGGCTTGGTGCTTAGTATTCTTGCCTTCTTTCTCTTAGTTCCTAGGCAAGATTTATATTATTTTTACGCCTGCCATAATTTTCTTAAAATATTTAATGTTTGGCTGAGTATTTAGTCAGTCTGAGAATATATTATGTAACTAACTCTTTTAGTCAAAATAGGAGCCACCAGAAAGTATAAAACTTGGTCTCTGATTTCAGGGAGTTTATGGGCTAGCTGAAAAGACAAAACTGACACTCTTAAAAGAAATGAGACAAATTAAATGTTAAACAATGCAGTACTGTATGTATGTGCAACAGGTGTTCTATTCTATGTGTTTCTCTGGTAGTTATTATGAATTTGGACCATAGAAGTTGGGGAAGGGTTTGTGACTGGGGCAGGGATGGTGGTGTGGGACTGAGCACTGAAGGGTAACAAGGGTTTCAGTGATCAAGCAGACAACCTTTAGAAACCAGGAGAGACATGGCAAAGGGTCGATGGGAAGTTAGAGGCAGGGGTGAGAATACCTGCCTTGCAGAAGCAGAAGTAGTAGGAAGGTGGGTAGCAGGTAGTATGCATCTAGATGATACACGCATGTTATTTTGGAGTAAGATGGAGGAGTTTAGACTTAATTAAGCTTGGGACCCCGACTAGTAAGTATATTGAAATCTTCAAATCATAAGGCCTTGGAGGGTGGTTCTTAAAATCCAGCCTGATTTCCTCTCTGCAAGAGAGTCATCAGCTTACCCCAGCTCCTCTGCTCTGCTATTACTTATCATTTCTCAGCCTCCCCGTCTCCTTCTTTTCCCTCAAGGAAAATTAAACTTTCTTCACCAAAATGTGGTACTAATACTAATATTTCCTAGCTTACCATATGCCTAGCATTTGCATATATGAATGTATTTACTTCTCAGAAGTTGGGTGTTATCCTCATTCTACACCTAGGAAAGAAGTGTGGGGAAGTTAAATTGCAGAAGGTCACACAGCTGAGTAGTAGAAGAGTTGAGGAATGGATTCAGGTCGTCTAACGCTCCACTGCGCCTGTGTAGTCCTTGGGGAGCAATTGTAGTTTCTTTAGCAGGAGAGTTCTGACTCCTGCGTTTTTCCCATTTATCAGCTTTTCCCGTGTATCTGCATTCCCTAGCTTCCTATCATCTTAGGAGGCCATTATCCATTCTCTCAATTGCCACTTCTTCTATAAAGTCTTCCTGAGACCACAGTCTAGCTTCTGTCCTCCTGTGTCTGTGCTGCTCCCCGTGCCTGGCTCCATTACAGGACTCAGCAGAGGGTTCTACACTCGTTATTTTGTCTGTCTCCTCTGTCCTGGGAGCAAGAGCTCAAGAATTGTGTCTTTTATCTCACTCCTTGTAGACCCTAGAATAGTAATAAATGTATGTTTATTGAATGAGTGAGGAACATAATTCAGGGGATGTTTTAAGCATATTGGTTATAAGGTAGTATTAGAATGAATGGAGGGTAGGGCAGTGCCTGTGACTCAGTGGGTAGGGTGCTGGCCCCATATACCGAGGGTGGTGGGTTCAAACCTGGCCCTGGCTGAACTTCAACAACAAAAAAATAGCCAGGCATTGTGGTGGGTGCCTGTAGTCCCAGCTACTAGGGAGGCTGAGGCAAGAGAATCGCCTAAGCCCAGGAGTTGGAGGTTGCTGTGAGCTGTGTGATGACACGGTACTCTATGGAAGGTGAGAAAGTGAGACTCTGTCTCTACCAAAAAAAAAAAAAATGAATGAATGGAGGGTAGAAAACTAAAGATATGACTTGGCGCCTGTAGCTCAGGGGCTAGGATGCCAGCCACATACACCAGAGCTGGTGGGTTCAAATCCAGCCTGGGCCCACCAAACAACAATGATGACAACTACAACCAAAAAAGCCAGGCGTTGTGGTGGGCACCTGTGGTCTCAGCTACTTGGGAGGTTGAGGCAAGAGAATCGCTTGAGCCCAGGAGTTGGAGGTTGCTGTGAGCTGTGACACCACAGCACTCTACCCAGGGGGACAGCTTGAGACTTTGTCTCAAAAAAAAAAAAAAGAAAGAAAGAAAGAAAAAAGAAAACTAGAGATAGAATAAAAGAAGTAGAGACTATTGCCATAGCAACCAAGGATGAGACGGTGTGGCCCTGGGAATGAAGAATGAAGGGTAAATTTAAGTCACATGTAGAAGAAAACAGTTTATATAATCAGCGACAGACAGGAGAGAGAGTGAATGAGGAAAGACATGAGTACAAAGCTGGAAAAGGAGCCGGTCTGTATGAGTCTGTAGTGGGAGTGCATGATGTTAGAATAGAATTTCAGAGTTTGTTTTGAGTTTTATATTTCTCTATAATTATTAAGGAAAGGACCAGCAACTTATGAAACCTTTTTTTTGTAGTCAGATGATAAAGTGATTATTCACATCGACAACGAATTAAGTAGAAACTGTGTGAACAACAGAGGCCTCGACGTGTTTGCAGTAGAAGTGGCACCAAAATCTACGATGGTAATGCATTGTTTTCTAAGTAGAGCCTTCTGTTTTATCTCTGTGAAAGGAAATTTTTGGCAGTTAGTGCTATGGATAAGCGTGTAATTATGAAATGAGGTAGAAACTATTTTAAGTCTGATATTTATATCAGTCTCCTTCTGCGATTCTAACCCAATTCTGTTCCTTATCTGGGTGAGTAACTGGGAGCTGTAGCTCTGGGAAGGTGTTTGCTTCTCTTTCTGCCACACTTCTTCACGCGCTCACACACCAGCTAAGGACTGGGATGTCGGCTGGGAGTCAGACCAGATCGTGCTGTTAGCCCCCAGGTCGTGGTTTGCCCGTCCCTGTAAGGACAATGCCATAGAATCTGCTGCACAGGAGTATTTTTTATACTGGGCCTCAAAATGTCCTATTGAGAAATAATCTACAAATAACAATAGATAAACAGAAAGTAAAAGCTCTCTGTTTTTCTGTGCAGGTTTGTCAACATGTAATGCCTCTGAATGAACGACAAGAATGGACACATTATTGTGTATATTCCCTTATTTCTTAAATAATCCTGCCTGGAACTATCAAACTAAGAATTATTTCAGATTTAGTCTGTTATTCTTTAATCAACTAATATTACTTAATTTAACTGATGTACCTACATAATAATCTATTTAATTTATATGCATTTACATTTATGTCCATGTTGTATACTTTATTATTAAAATATAAATAATGTTTTTAATGTATGGCCTTCTTGTTTTAGTGGGACATCTGAGCATACTTTTTTTTTTTTTTGCAGTTTGTGGCCAGGGCTGGGTTTGAACCCGCCACCTCTGGCATATGGGGCCGGCACCCTACTCCTTTGAGCCAGAGGCACCTCCTCTCTCAGTACTTTTTTAAAGATAATAAGTCAAAATAAAATTACAGGTGATATTTTAAAAAATAAAATATAAGGAACTCTATAAAATTTTTTATACTTTAGGTTTATCACACTGATTCTTTAAAATCTAAAAAAAAATATAGGCTCAGCGCCCATAGTTTAGGGTGCCAACCACATACACCAGGGTTGGTGGGTTTGAACCTGGCCTGGGCCTGCTAAACAATGACAACTACAACAAAAAAATATCCAGGTGCTGTGGCAGGCACCTGTAGTCCCATCTACTTGGGAGGCTGAGGCAAGAGAATCACTTTTAAGCCCAAGAGTTTGAGGTTGCTGTGAGCTGTGACACCACAGCACTCTACCCACGGTGACATAGTGAAACTGTCTATAGTCCCAGCTATTTCGGAAGCTGAGGTAAGAGGCTCACTTGGGCCCAAGAGTATGAGGTTGCTATTGCCGTGGATCCTACCCAGGCAACAGAGTGAGACTCTGCCTCCAAAAAAAAAAAAAAAATTATTTTTAAAGCAATAAAATGTGAAAGCATTTTATTAATTGTGAAAACCCTGTAACTGTGATCATACTTTCTGTTCTACTTTACAAAGTATTGAATTATGAGACATTAATGATCTGGCTATGATATTGAAAGCGTATAATAAAGTTATATATGCCCCCAAATTGTAAAGGGACTTTTACAATAGGATGATAGGTGACATAAAGTGGTATAATTGGAACTTGGGAACTCAAGAAAAAAGAATAACAAGCACTTAAACTTCACTTTCCACCAGGAAAGGGGTTTAAAGGTTGTCACTAAATGGAGCAACCCTTTTTAAGCCCCTTTTTCCATTAGAGGGGGAAAAACCCAAAACTGTCTTAACTGTCTCATTTTCAATTAGTCAGTAGAAAATACAAAGATACTTTGTTTCAAGTCAGACTTTTCCAGGTGAATATAAACCCAAGGGAATCCGCGAATATACACAGACACCTCCTTGTAAAATTTTATAATGACTATTTTGTGAATAAAGGTATATTTAGCTACAATTTCCCATTTTCCATATTTAGGGTGACTTTAGGGGCAACCTTTGGGATGCCTTAAAAACTAGGCTACATTTGTGGATTTTTAAATTAATTTTTAAAGATTACTTGAATATTGTGGTACTGGAATATCCAGAAGAACTTAATTCAAGTCCTGAAATATTTGACGCATAGATTGATAGTAATTCTGTAACCAATCAAATGTACTTGATTAACATACAAGAATGTCTTCTTGAGTTTTGAGAGGCGATTCCTTTTTTCAGAGTTTTGCACAGATTAACTATGCTCTTTTCTAAGGTAATTTTACTTATGGTTTAATTTGAAAAGCAGGAGGCCCCACTGACTGGAAGGACGTCAGGGGCCCCGTCTCCCCTGGGATCTGATCCCTGCCTCACTGAAACTCCCCATGGCTGAGTTTCATCTACATTCCCCCGATAATGGCTTTTCTCCCTTGTTATTTACTCATGTTTTAGCCTCTTTATCTTTTTAAGAAACTTCTCGCTTCCCATCTTATCATCTTTCTTCTCCCCTCCTCTTCCTGGTGAAAGCACTTGAAGGAATTGCCCACCTTGGCGACATCTACTTTCTTGACTCCCATTCATTTTTTCCAGTTAATTCAACCAGTTGTTTGCTCCCAGGACATCAGTAACTTCCTTGTCCAGAGGATATTTTAAAGTCTTCTCTCCACTGTTAGACACTGTGTTCTTCAGATTTTCGTTTTACTTCTGACCATTTCTTTTCAGGCTTCTTTCCACCCATACTCCTGTAGTTTCTCCCAATTTCCACATTCTCTCCCTCCTCAGACCATTTGTATGTGGCCTTTCCTTCTTGCCTGGAGAGTCATTCTTTCCTCTTTACTCTTCGTTGATGTCTCAGGGAATACGTCACTTTTCCCAAGACTCCTTTGCCAATCACTTCCCTTGCCAGTAGTCTCCGACGGCCTCACACGTAGCTCTCACTCCTGCGGCAGCGCCCGCCACGCTGCATGGGAATTGCTATTGGTTCCCCTGCACCCCTGGCCAGGTTGAATGCACAACAGTAATAACTCCAGACTGTGCCCTAGAAACTAGGATGTGAGAGATACCCAGTGAATATCGGTAGAGTGGTTGAATGAAATAGGTGGAAAATAAAAATAAATTTACATAGAACATGAAGTTTTCCTAATTCTTAAGGATATGTATACATTAAAACTAGAACCATAAGTATTAAAAGTCTTATTACTATTCAATTCCATTTACCTAGACTTTGTTTTTCATCTTATTAATTAACAGGTTAAAAAACAACTGAAACAAAAATTTGATTCTTTCACTGTCTATCTAACTTGGAGTATCTTTCTTTCTTTTTTCGGAGACAGAGTCTCAGTTTATCACCCTGGGTAGAGTGCCATGGTGTCATAAACTCACAGCAACCTAAAATCCAAATTATTGAGCTCAAAGTGATCCTCTTGCCTCAGCCCCCTCAGTAGCTGGGACTACAGGTGCCCCCACAATACCCAGCTAGTTTTTAGCGATGAGATCTCATTCTTGCTCAGACTGGTCTCGAACTCATGAGCTCAAGAGATCCACCTGCTTCGACCTCTAGAATGCTGGGATTACAGGCCTGAGGCACTGCATCTGGCTAACATGGAGTTTTAATTAGAGAATAGATTACTGTAATTCCTTTCAATTCTAAACTGTTACAATTTAAATGTTGAGTATCACATGCTGTCACGAGCAATTTTTAAATTACTTATTTTGTTGATTTTCTATTAAATATTGGAGTAGATCTGTTTTTTTTGAAACAGTGGACTTCTTTCAGAACTATTTTGGTACAGGTTTAATATGAAGCAGAAACTCCATATACTACACTAATCAATTTTGGATATAACACAGGAAAATGGAAATGTTATTTCTGATTTTGGCCACCAGACGGTGAACATATTTTATTCATAAGAGAGATAGATGGATGCAGGGGAAGATTTCTCCCCACTAGAAGTCCTTTGTGACTTCTAAGGCTGTTTCTGGCAAAACATATTGGTCACTATAGTTGTACGTGTACTCAGGCATATAAAACTATCCTTATTAGAGAGAACGTAAAAATTATTTCTAACTTAGAAAGTGTACACTTAAATTTTCTGCTCTTAACAAAGTATTGACTTTCACTTCTTCATGAATTTACAAGTAAAAGGACATTCAGAGGTATTACAAAGCTCATCTTCACTATTCAGCCTTGCTTAATTTATGGGGGAAAAGTAATGATTTAAGGAAAAATGAAGCAAACAGTGGTAATAACTTAGACGAAGTAAACCATCTCCTGTGATGAGATAATTTCGGGGACTAGGAATAGCTGTTGAAAGTCTTAGGGATAAAGGATTTGGGTTGGTTTGAAGTGCCTGTACTTGTTAGTGAGAGCTACCACTAAGGAAATGAAGACTAAGTATCAATTCTTTTTTTTATTGTTTGGGATTCATTGAAGATACAAAGAATTAGGTTACACGGATTGCATTTGTTAGATAAAGTCCCTCTTATAATTGTGTCCTACCCCCAAGAGGTGTGCCATCCACCATGACCCCCCAACCCCTCTCTCCTCCCCTCTCCCGTTCCCCTACCTCCTCATTCCCCTACCCCACCTGTTGTATTAGCCCATCTACTGCCTTTATATCCGAATTGAGCACATTGGATTCTTGCTTCTCCATTCTTGTGATGCTTTACTAAGAAGAATGTGTTCTACCTCCATCCACGTTAATACAACAGATGTAAAGTCTCCATCTTTTATAATGGCTGAATAGCATTCCATGGTATACTTATACTACAGCTTGTTAATCCATTCCTGGGTTGGTGGGCATTTAGGCTGTTTCCACATTTTGGCGACTAAATTGAGCTATGATAAACAGTCTAGTGCAAATGTCCTTATGATAAAATGATTTTTTTTCTTCTGGGTAGGTGCCCAGTAGTGTGATTTCAGGATCAAATGGGAGGTCTAATTTGAGTCCTTTGAGGGTTCTCCATGCTTCCTTCCAAAAAGGTTGTATTAGTTTGCAGTCCCATCAGCAGTGTAAAAGTGTTCCCTTCTCTGCACGTTCACACCAGCACCTGCAGCTTTGTAATGTGGGCCGTTCTCACTGGGGTCAGGTGATATCTCAGGGTGGTTTTGATTTGCATTTCTCTGATGATCAGGGACAATGAGCATTTTTTCAAATGTTTGTTAGCCATTCATCTGTCTTTAGAGAAGGGTCTATTCATGTTTCTTCCCCAGTGACAAATGGGATTATTGGGTCTTTTTTTGTTGATTGAGTTCTCTATAGATCCTAGTTATCAAGCTTTTCTCCAATTCATAATATACAAATATCTTTTCCAATTTTAAAGGTTGTGTGTTTGCTTTGTTTGTTGTTTGCTTAGTCGTACAGAAGCTTTTCCATTTAATTAAGTCCCATTTGTTGATTTTTGTTGTTGCAATCACCACGGAAGTCTTCATAAAATCTTTCCCCAGGCCAGATCTTCAAGTGTTTTTCCCACACTTTCTTTGAGGATTTTTATTGTTTCATGCCTTAGATTTAGATCTTTTATCCTTCTTGAATCAATTTAAGTGTTGAGAGGTGTGGGTCCTGTTTCAGTCTTTTACATATGGTTATCCAGTTCTCCCAATACCATTTAGGGATTCTTTTCCCCAGTGTATGTTCTTGTTTGATTTATCAAAGATCAGCTGGCTGTAAGATGTTTTATCTCATGGTTTTCTATTAGGTTCCAAATGTCAGTGTTTCTATTTTTGTGTCAATACCATGCTGTTTTGATCACTATCGCCTTGTAGTATAACCTAAAGTCAGGTAGGGTGATAACCCTGGCTTTGTT